GATGAGGGAGGGGAGAAGGGGATGAGAGGGAAGGGATGGGAGGGGAGAGGGGGACGGGGCAAGCTAGGTGCGCTCGCGCCAGATCTGACATCCTACCGCCTCCGCCCATCCCTTCCCACTGCGCTGATTTTTCTCTATCCGCCGAGGCGTGCCATAGCGGACCTGGAGTTCCAACACGGACGCATCGTGTCTAGCTCGCTGTGTGCTGAAGTGAGCAGCAGCACAGCGACGCGAAGGGCAAAAACAGAAGCAGAGCCTTCGACCCCGTCTGCGCGCGGCAACTCGAGCGCGAGCGACCCGTGAAGGCCCTGGGGCCCGAGATGGGGCCGACGCGCCTTTTTACGACGCCCGGATCCCAGGTCCACACGGCTCCTGCAGTGGCAGACTCGCGCGTGGTGTGGCGGCCTCGCTTCAGCGAGTCGCGGCGCGCGCGAGCAGATATGGATCTGTCGGGGCGGTTTTAACGGCGTACGTTCTCCTGCCTGAGATGGAGTCAGATCTAGGAGAGGTGGACAGTGGATCGTTGTCGGAGGTACGGTTGTTATGTAGACGTGCAGGCGGACGCTGTGGAGGCAGGTGCGGTGGTATTGGCTTGGCTGCGGTCGCGCAGGGACGTGGTGCGTGGTTTGTGGATTTGGGAGCGACGGTGGAGTCTAAAGGTGTACAAGGTCGTCAGCGGCTTTCTCTGTATTACCTTTGTGTGGCGGTGGTGGTGGCCAGAGCTCCCCCTCTTCCTCCGCCTTCTCTTTCCTCTCCTTCTCTTCTCCTTTTCCTATTCATGCACCGCCTCCTCGCCATCCTCCCGACCTTGTCACACTTCTTCTTCCACGTGTCCATCCTCCTTTTCATCTCCCCCCCGTCTTTATCTCCCTTTCGCTACTGCTTCTCCTCCTCAGGAGTGGAACGATGCCAATCCCGACAGGGAGATCCACGTCGGCGACCAGATCACAGCGGTCAATGGGCACGCTTGGCACCAGGATACGAGAGTGTTCGCGGAGCGCATCAAGACCATGTTCAAGGCTGCGAAGGAGGGCACCCCCGGCGCCGAGGCGAGCCTGAACATGACCATCCAGAGGCCGAGGCGCCAGGACATGGGCCTTCCCCTGCGCCTCGCGGACCAGCACCAACGCCTCTACACAAAGGGCTTCCAGGCTCAGCTGGACATCCCGGGCTCGAAGGTTGAGCAGACGCTTGCCGACGCGCTAGGCTGGCAATTGAACGTGTCGGTGGACTACTGGATGCCAGTGGTGGTCGGAGAGATCAGGCAGCAAGGTCTCGTGGCGGAGTGGAACGAGAGAAACCCAGAGAGAACTATCTTTCCAGGGGATGAGATCGTCGCGGTCAACGACGTGACGTGGCAACACAACTCGTTCTCCTTCATCGAGAAGGTTGTCAAGCAGTTCGAGGCCTCCCGCAGCGGTGAGACAGATCCCAAGGGTTCTTACAAACTCGTTCTATCGGTGCTACGCCCCAAGCCTCCTGAGGCCCTGGCTCAAATGAGGCTGGCGAAGCTCAGAGACGCGGACGAGGTCGAGGAGGCCAAGGTCAACGAGGTTAAGGTCGCGGAGTTGAAGACCAAGGATGAGGCCAAGGTGGACGATTCCAATCATATGTCCAAGGAGCTTGTCAATGAAACGAGGCCCACTGATGATGTGCAAGAGGCCGAGAAGGCTGAGGAGGAGGAGGAGGCCCAGGAGGTCAAAGAGGCCAGCGAGAACGTCAAGGATTTGGGGGCCAACGACGAGGTCAAGGATATCAATGACACACGGAAGAAGGAGGAAGGGGCCACTGGGGCGAAGGAGCAGGTCAAAGAGGTGACAGCCGGGGAGAGGGTCACAGAGACTGTCAATGGAGTGGCCATCGTGTATGAGCCGACGGCGCGCGCGGAGGTCGGCGAGGCCATGGACAAGGAGGAGGTCAAGGAGGCCAAGGAGGAGATCAAGGAGGCCGAGGCGCAGCTGGTGCAGCACGCGAAGGTGAAGGATGCCGCGGCCTCCAAGACCACGAGCTTCCTGACGGCGCTGACCATTCCCAAGGGCGTGAAGGATCCCCAGGCAAAGGTGTTCGGCTGGCAGCTGGCCTACGACAGCGACAGCTCCCCCCCAGTGATTGGCAAAATTCGCGCGACTGGGCTGGTGGCGACGTGGAACCACGCCCACCCGGACCAGAAGATCCTGCCTGGCGACAAGATCGTCGAGGTGAACAACTTCCCGTGGCAGGGCGACTCCAAGGATTTCGCGGATCGCATCGCCAAGGAGTTCGACACTTTGAGCAAGAGTGGCCGCGCAAAGCTGCGCATGTACTTGAAGATCCAGCGCCGGGCCGCCGAGGACACGTCCACTGAGGTCGCCTCAAGTGCCAATGCCGTCGAGAAGGAGAGCTCGCAGGAGGTCCTGGGCCACGAGAGCTTGAATGGCATTGAGCAGCAGGAGGCCACAAAGGCGACCTCGACGACGGGCGAGAGCAAGGCCATCGCCGACGACACTGCCAGCGAGAACTCCAGTGGGGACCAGCAGACCTCCGACGCCACTGCCTCCGAGCCGAGCGCCGCTGGCGGGAAGGCTGCGGAAGCGCAGGGCGCCGCTGAGGAGACGGCCGGCGAAGAACAGCAGAAGGTGGTTGCCGAGGCTACCGACGAGAGCGCCGCCGCGGAGGAGAGCTCGCAGGAGGCACTGGGCTACGAGAGCTCGGAGGGCAGCGAGCAGCAGGTGGCCGCAGAGGCGAGCTCGCGCGAGGGTGAGAGCAAGGCCGCCGACGACGTCACCGCCGAGGAGGGTAGCTCGCAGGAGGCACTTGGCTACGAGAGCTCGGAGGGTAGTGAGCAGCAGGTTGCCGCAGGCGCCAGCTCGAACACGAGCAATGCCATCGTCAACGACGCCGCCAGTGAGAGCGCAGGTGAGGAAGAGAAGACATCCGACGCCGCTGCCTCCGAGTCGAGCGCCGCCGTTGTGAAAGAGGCCACCGATGCATTGAAGTCCGACAATGTCGATGATCTTGAGGGCCTGATCGCGAAGCTCCAGGCCAAGGTCAAGGCCAAGAAGACCAGCGGCCACGACGCGAAGGTAGCAGCTGGCCCGGATGAGCCTTCGGTCGAGGCCGCGAGGGATGCAGAGCCGACTGGCACCGCAGAGGAGGCTGCCGACAAGGACGTCGAAGATGCCCTTGGCGTAGAGCTTGGCCCGGAGCAGACGACCGCCGAGCTGCAGGCCGTCAGGCGGGGGGCCAAGGAGGAGGACGCTGCCGATGCTTCGAGCGCCACGAGGGATGCCGCAAAGGAGGCCGCCGAGCCCGCCGAGAATGCCACGGGGGAGGCCGCTCAGAACCAACTGACCGCCGAGCTCGAGGGTGGCGCAGAGGAGGCCGCCGAGCCGAAGGCTGCCGCCGAGGAGGCCGCCGAGCCGAAGGATGCCGTAGAGGAGGCCGCCGAGCCGAAGGCTACCGCCGAGGAGGCCGCCGAGCCGAAGGATGCCGCCGAGGAGGCCGCCGAGCCGAAGGATGCCGCAGAGGGGGCTGCCGAGCCGAAGGGCGCCACGGAGGAGGCCGCCGAGCCGAATGCTGCCACGGAAGAGGCCGCCGAGCTGACGGACGCCGCAGAGGAGGCCGCCGAGCCGACGGTTGCCGCAGAGGAGGCCACCGAGCCGAAGGCTGCCGCAGAAGAGGCCGCCGAGCCGACAGATGCCGCAGAGGAGGCCGCCGAGCCGAAGGCCGCCGCGGAAGAGGCCGCCGAGCCGACGGATGCCGCGGAGGAGGCCGCCGAGCCGAAGGCTGCCACGGAAGAGGCCGCCGAGCCGACGGATGCCGCGGAGGAGGCCGCCGAGCCCGAGAGCGGTGCGGAGGAGGCTCCCGAGCCAGAGGACGCCGCCGTTCAGGGGCGGGGGGGCCCCGCGGAAGGCTTCGTCCAGGAGGCCGCCGAGGCAACGGCCGCCGTCAAGGAGGCAACCCCGCCAGGCGGTGCCACCGAGGATGCGGCCCAGCTGGCCGAGGAGGCCACCGAGCAGAAGGCTGCAGGCGCGGCCGAGAAGGTCGCAGATGCGACCCTTCCGGAGCCAGATGCACCGGTGAAGGTGGACGAGAAGGCCGCCAAGCTCCGCGCCATAGGTAACATGTTCAAGGAGCTCCAGGACCAGATCCGGAGTCTCAAGGCCAAGGTGGACGCGAAGGAGGCTGCGGAGCAGACCACGAAGAAGGCTGTCGAGCCCTGCCCCTCCCCCTGCAACTCTTTTTCGCCATCCCCTCCCCCTCCCCTTCGCTCTGCTGTTGTGATAGAAACTAACTCCAGCCGAGGGAAGGCGGAGCAGAGACATCCTCACACAAATTTTATGGTTTTGGCTGTTTCGCTTGAGACATCCTTACAACTCTCGTTTCTGAGTTGGCCGGGATTGGCCGTTTCGCCTGAGACATCCTCGAAAAGCTGCGCTCCAGGACGCCGCGCGAGAGGTGGTCCGGGCCGTTTCGCTTGAGACATCCTCGAAACTCTGAGCCCCGAGGTGCCGTGCGAGAGGTGGGGCCGTTTCGCCTGAGACATCCTCGAAACTCTGAGCTCTGCGATGCCTTGCGCGAGGTGGTCCGGCCCGTTTCGCCTGAGACATCCTCGAAACTCTGACTTCGGAGATGCCGCGCGAGAGGCGGTCCGGCCCGTTTCGCCTGAGACATCCTCGAACTTCTGAGCTCTGAGATGCCCTGCGCGAGGTGGTCCGGCCCGTCTCGCCTGAGACATCCTTGCAACTCTGAGCTCTGAGATGCCGTGCGCAAGGTGGTCCGGCCTGTTTCGCACAAGACATTCTCGCAACTCTGAGCTCTCAGATGCTGCGCAAGAGGTGGTCCAGCCTGGGGGCCCAGAAGACCACATGTTACATATCCTCCATGGGACCCTGCGAGCCTCAGGAGGCCCCAGAGAGGTCCAGGAGGCCGCAGGACGCCCAGGACAGGCCCCAGGGGCCCCCAGGAGATTCCCAGGAGGCTCCCAGGAGGCCCCAGGAGGCCCTCTATCAGAACGTGTCAAGTTAATCCACATCCGGTGTCGATTCGTTGATTTTTCCTGCTCTTGTGGCCCCCCCTCCATTTTGAGGGGCCCAAGCGGCCACAGGTTAGATATCCCCCCTGGGAGCCCCAAGAGGCTTCAGGACCAGGTGGAGTTCAGGAGGCCACAGGAGGCCCAGGAGGAAGCCCCAGGAGGTCCCCAGGAGGCACCAGGAGGCACCAGGAGGCCCCCGCAACTCGGAGCTCTGAGACGCCGCGCTCGAGGTGGTCCGGCCCGTTTCGCCTGAGACTTCCTCGCAGCACGTTTGCCCGAGAAATCGTCGCAACTCTGGGGTCCGAGATGCCGCGCGCGAGGTGGTCCAGCCCGTTACGCTGGAGACATCCTCGCAACTCTAGGCTCCGAGATGCCGTTCGGGATGAAGAGGAGGTCGAGGAGGAGGAGGAGGAGGAGGAGGAGGAAGGAGGAGGAGGAGATGGAAGGGAGAAGGAGGAGGCGGATGATGTGCATGAGGGAGCAGGCAGGAGGAGGGGGAGGAGGAGGAGGAGGAGGAGGAGGAGGAGGAGGAGGAGGAGGAGGAGGAGGAGGAGTTGCAGGAGAGGACCTAACGGGAAGCGAGTGCGATGTGGACTTGTCAAAACGTGTGCGAAAGATTGTCCGGCCCGTTTCGTTTGAGACATCCTTCCAATACTGAGCTCCAAGATGTCGCTCGCGAGGTGGTCCGGCCCGTTTCGATTGAGCCATCCTCGCAATGCGAGGCTCGAAGATGTTGCGCGCGAGATGGTCTGGCCCATTCTGCCTGAGACGTTTCGTAGCACAGGAGCTCCAATCACAACCTCTCTCATTCCTTCTCCCGCCTCCCTCTTCCCACTTCCCGCCTGGTTCCTATTCCCTCCTCCCTCCTCCCGCCTCCCGCCTCCTGCTACTGCGCCTCTGCCTCCGCCTCCCTGTCCCCGCCGTCGTCGTTTCTGCCGCCTCAGCATCCGTCATGCGCGCACTGCCTTCCGCCCTCCCCAGACATCCGACGTCACGATTTTTCCCAACCCTCCTGCGTTGGGTTCTCGTTTTGAATAGAGCACTGCTCGCGCGCATCCCGCCCCCCTCTTCCCCCCTCTCTCCCCCCCTGCCTTTTACCTGGCTCGTCGCTGCGTTTCGAGGGCTGCTGGGGGCTGCGATCTGCGAAACTGTCGCCACTTTCGAGGCCTGCTGGGGGGCCCAGCACAGTCTGCACCCGCGGCGGACTCAAATGGGACCTCGCCATCCCTGGGGGGCTGCGATCTGTGAAACTGTCGCCACTTTCGAGGGCTGCTGGGGGGCCCAGCACAGTCTGCACCCGCGGCGGGCTCAAATTAGACCTCGCCATCCCTGGGGGGCTGCGATCTGCGAAACCGTCGCCACTTTCGAGGCCTGCTGGGGGGCCCAGCACAGTTCAAATGACGTCGCCATCCCTGGGGGCTGCGATCTGCGAAACTGTCGCCACTTTCGAGGCCTGCTGGGGGCCCAGCACAGTCTGCACCCGCGGCGGACTCAAATGGGACCTCGCCATCCCTGGGGGGCTGCGATCTGCGAAACTGTCGCCACTTTCGAGGGCTGCTGGGGGGCCCAGCACAGTGGGCCACACCGCGGGCTGCGATCTGTGAAACTGTCGCCATTTTCGAGGCCTGCTGGGGGGCCCAGCACAGTCTGCACCCACGGCGGATTCAAATGGGACCTCGCCATCCCTGGGGGGCTGCGATCTGTGAAACTGTCGCCACTTTCGAGGCCTGCTGGGGGGCCCAGCACAGTGACACACGGCGGACTCAAATTAGACCTCGCCATCCCTGGGGGGCTGCGATCTGTGAAACTGTCGCCACTTTCGAGGCTGCTGGGGGTCCTGGGCGGCGGACTCAAATCGACCTCGCCATCCCTGGGGGGCTGCGATCTGTGAAACTGTCGCCACTTTCGAGGCCTGCTGGGGGGCCCAGCACAGTGGGTACCCACGGCGGACTCAAATGGGACCTCGCCATCCCTGGGGGGCTGCGATCTGTGAAACTGTCGCCACTTTCGAGGCCTGCTGGGGGGCCCAGCACAGTGGTCAAATTAGACCTCGCCATCCCTGGGGGGCTGCGATCTGTGAAACTGTCGCCACTTTCGCGGCCTGCTGGGGGGCCCAGCACAGTGACGCCACACGCAGATTCAAATTAGACCTCGCCATCCCTGGGGGGCTGCGATCTGTGAAACTGTCGCCACTTTCGAGGCCTGCTTGCGGGGCCCAGCACAGTGACGCCTCCCAAGTAGCTTACACATCAAGTTGATTGTCCATACAAGTTTCGGCCAACTCCTCGTTTCCATTGATACAAATGGGTTGGGTACGTCACAGGGTAATTCTTTTGAGACGTACGCCGCGTACCTCTCGATATCATCCCCGAGAGAACCATCACGACATGCCCCCCCGCTTCCGCGCCCTCCCCCGCTTCCTCTTAAAGTTGCTTCTGAGTTCACAGCATGGCGGTGGAGCCTCTCACAGTGCCGACCCGACAGCTTACTCGTCGACCAGGTGCGACCTGGGACATCCTCGCAACTCTGGGCTCCGAGACAGGGCTCCCCAAACAGGATTTTTATATTCCTTTTAGCGACGTCTCAAAACGTGCCGGAGGAGGAGGAGGAGGAGGAGGAGGAGGAGGAGGGAGCAGGCAGGAGGAGGGGGAGGAGGAGGAGGACGAGGAAGAGGAGGAGGAGGAGGGAGGAGGAGGAGGAGGGATGAGGAATGGAGTTGCATGAGAGAGCTTAACGGGAAGCGAGAGGTAGAACGGCCCGTTTCGCTTGGGGCATCCTTCCAATACTGAGCTCCGAGATGCCGCTCGCGAGGTGGTCCAGCCCGTTTCTCCCGAGCCATCCTCACAATGCGAAGCTCCGAGATGCCGCCATGCGCGCCCTGCCTTCCGCCCTCCGCAGACATTCGACGTCACGATTTTTGTTTCAAGACGTGCGCCCGCGGACCTCTCGATCTCGTCCCCGGGACTGGTTCTTCGTCAGGGTTCTTCGAGATGCTGCGCACACGAGATGGTGTGCCCCGTTCTGCCTGAAACCTCTCTCATTTCTCCCACCTCCCTCCTCTTGCTTCCCGCCTGCCTCCTCTCCCCTCCTTCCTCCTCACGCCTCTCGCCTTTCGCTGCTGTGCCTCTGCCTCCGCCTCCCCGTCGCCGTCTCCGTCATTTTGCCGCCTCAGCATCCGCCATGCGCGCCTTGCCTCCCGCCATCCCCAGACATCCGACGTCCAGATGTTTGTTTCGAGACGTGCGTCCGCGGACCTCTCGATCTCATCCCAGGGATTGCTTTTTCCCCAAACAGCTTGCTGAAAGGGGTGCTGTTGTGATAGAAGCTAACTCCGGCCGAGGGAAGTCGGAGCAGAGACATCCTCACAAAAATTTGATGGTCCGGGCCGTTTCGCTTGAGACATCCTCACAACTCTCGTTTCTGAGTTGGCCGGGATTGGCCGTTTCGCCTGAGACATTCTCGAAAAGTTGCGTTCCGGGACGCCGCGCGAGAGGTGGTCTGGGCCGTTTCGCTTGAGACATCCTCGAAACTCTGAGCCCCGAGGTGCCGTGCGAGAGGTGGTCCGGGCCGTTTCGCCCGAGACATCCTCGAAACTCTGAGCTCTGCGATGCCTTGCGCGAGGTGGTCCGGCCCGTTTCGCCTGAGACATCTTTGCAACCCTGACCTCGGAGATGCCGCGCGAGAGGTGGTCCGGCCCGTTTCGCTTGAGACATCCTCGAGCTCTGAGATGACCTGCGCGAGGTGGTCCGGCCCGTCTCGCCTGAGACATCCTCGCATCTCTGAGCTCTGAGACGCCGTGCGCAAGGTGGTCCGGCCTGTTTCGCACAAGACATTCTCGCAACTCTGAGCTCTCAGATGCTGCGCAAGAGGTGGTCAGCCTGGGGGCCCAGAAGACCACATGTTACATATCCTCCCTGGGACCCTGGGAGCCCGCCGGAGACATCCTCGAACTTCTGAGCTCTGAGATGCCCTGCGCGAGTTGGTCCGGCCCGTCTCGCCTGAGACATCCTCGCAATTCTGAGCTCTGAGATGCCGTGCGCAAGGTGGTCCGGCCTGTTTCGCACAAGACATTCTCGCCACTCTGAGCTCTGAGATGCCGCGCAAGAGGTGGTCCAGCCTGGGGGCCCAGAAGACCACATGTTACATGTCCCCCCTGGGACCCAGGGAGCCCCAGGAGGCACCAGAGAGCTCCAGGAGGCCGCAGGACGCCCAGGCCAGGCCCCAGGGGTCCCAGGAGATTCCCAGGAAGCTCCCAGGAGGCCTCAGGAGGCCCCCTATCAGAACGTGTAAAGTTAATACACATCTGGTGCCGATTCGTTGATTTTCGTTGATTTTCCCTGCTCTTGTGGCCCCCCCCCCTCCATTTTGAGGAGCCCAAACGGCCACAGCTTAGAAATTCCCCCCTGGGAGCCCCAAGAGGCTTCAGCAAACCCCAGGTGGAGTTCCAATAGGCTTCAGGAAGCCCCAGGTGGGGTCCAGGAGGCCACAGGAGGCCCAGGAGGAAGCCCCAGGAGGTCACCAGGAGGTCCCAGGAGGCACCAGGAGGCCCCCGCAACTCGGAGCTCTGAGACGCCGCGCTCGAGGTGGTCCGGCCCGTTTCGCCTGAGACTTCCTCGCAGCACGTTTCGCCCGAGACATCGTCGCAACTCTGGGGTCCGAAATGCCGCGCGCGAGGTGGTCCAGCCCGTTACGCCTGAAACATCCTCGCAACTCTGGGCTCCGAGATGCCCTGCGCGAGGTGGTCCGACCCATCTCGCCTGAAACATCCTCGCCACTCTGAGCTCTGAGATGCCGTGCGCAAGGTGGTCCGGCCCGTTTCGCACAAGACATTCTCGCAATTCTGAGCTCTCAGATGCTGCGCAAGAGGTGGTCCAGCCTGGGGGCCCAGAAAACCACATTTTACATATCCCCCCTGGGACCCTGGGAGCCCCAGGAGGCACCAGAGAGCTTCAGGAGGCCGCAGGACGCCCAGGACAGGCCCCAGGGGTCCGCAGGAGATTCCCAGGAGGCTCCCAGGAGGCCCCAGGAGGCCCCCTTATCAGAACGTGTCAAGTTAATACACATCCTGTGTCGATTCGTTGATTTTTCCTGCTCTTGTGGCCCCCCCCATTTTGGGGGGCCCCGACGGCTACATGTTAGATATCCCCCCCTGGGAGCCCCAAGAGGCTTCAGGAAGCACCAGGTGGGGTCCAGGAGGCCACAGGAGGCCCAGGAGGAAGCCCCAGGAGGTCACCTGGAGGTCCCAGGAGGCACCAGGAGGCCCCCACAACTCGGAGCTCTGAGACGCCGCGCTCGAGGTGGTCCGGCCCGTTTCGCCTGAGACTTCCTCGCAGCACGTTTTGCCCGAGACATCGTCGCAACTCTGGGGTCCGAAATGCCGCGCGCGAGGTGGTCCAGCCCGTTACGCCTGAGACATCCTCGCAACTCTGGGCTTCGAGATGCCGTTCGGGAGGAGGAGGAGGAGGAGGAGGAGGAGGAGGAGGAGGAGGAGGAGGAGGAGGAGGAGGAGGAGGCATGTTTGAACATGCCATGCCAGCCCGCACTGGACGGGCACGCAATCGACCTTGGAAACCGCAGTGGGTCTAAAAACCCTGTTTGGGGATACTGCACTCCGTTTTTTTTTTTTTTTTTTTTTTTTTTTTTTTTTTTCTCTCTCTCTCTCTCTCTTTCGAGACTGCTGCCGTCCAACTCCACCTCCTATTCCACTTCCTCTTTTCCCACCCCTGAGGTGCCATCCGTTCACATGGAGGCCACGCAGAGCGAGAGCACTGACTTGTCGGCTGAGGAGATGGAGAGCCTGGAGAAGAAGGCTGCCGAGCTTGAGAAGGCGGCAGTCGAACAAGCCGTGGACAAGTGGAGCTGGCCTGAGGAGCAGGCCGTTGAGCAGTCCGTGGCTCAGGAGGAAAGGGTCGAGGATAAAAGCGCTGGGCAGACAGCGGCTGAGGAGGAGACTGAGGATAAGGATCTCAAGGATGTCGAGGAGTCCCTCGGCGTCGACTTCGGCCCAGAGCCAACGAACTTCGAGCTGCAGGACGTCAAGCAGGAGGCCATGGAGGACGCGTCCACTGCTCAGAGCGCCACGAAGGAGGGCGAAGGGCAGGCCGCCGAGCTGCAAGGCGCCAGCAAAGACCAGGAGGCCAGCAAGGATATCGAGAGCTCCAGAATCCTGCCATTCTTCCTTCCTCCTCCTTCTCTGGCGGCAGACTGGACGCGTCTGGCGCCCTTCCGCTGGCGCGCCAGCTCCACCCCAAAGCTGCCACAGTGGGGCCGCTGAAAGAAGGAACGCTAAATAAGGAACGAAGCCTCCTCTTGGCCCTGTTAGCGCCTCCGTGCCCCAGGAGGGCAAGAGGAATAGCACTGGAGGAACCTAAGGAACATCGAGCCCCTTCCGAACCCAAGCTGTTCCTTATTTCAGCGTCTCGACTGTAAGCCTCCGCGGCAAACTGGCTGATGGAGTATTTATTCAGAGACCCGCGTCGCATTTGCCGGAGTCCGTCACCTCTCCCGCCACCCACTACCATTGATTGACCACCCGATACACCACTCACACACAACCCACCCACTAACCACCCATCACATCATAAAGAAGGGACATAGCAACAATCAGATTCAGGCGATCACCATCCCACCACTTCCCCACACGGATCACCCCGCCATGCAATAATCTTGACTGTTTCGATTGGCCTCTAGGTGTGTGTGTGTGTGGATGGCGGGTGTGCGGGTGGTGGGGCGTTGGTTGCCTTTCATCTCTGGTGGTTCGTCACTGCATGTGTGGTGTATGTTTGTGTGAGATGTGTGGTGTATGTTTGTGGGTGTGTGAGGGTGGTGTGAGGGTGGTGGGTGGTGGTGGGTGTTGGTGGGCTGGGCTGGTGGTGGGTGGTGGTGGGAGGTGGTGGGTGCTTGCAGGATTGCAGATCCCCCGCGAGGCGCGCCCCCGCGCGCCTTTTCCCTCCTGAGGCCGGGCCGAAATGGCTATGCATCAGCACGTGCACACACACTCTCCGAAGGCAGGCTCCCCTCACCCAATACGCCCTCAGATTGGCATTCATCCAAAATCTTCAAGTTCGTGGTGACCCGGGAGACTGTTCCAATCGCATCAGCAGCATCATCCACTTAGCGCTCCTGCTTCATCTTTCTTTCCTCGCTCTTCGGGAAGGTCGGAACCTCGGCATCTATGAGGTTGCTCTCGGCGGCCCCGAAATTCTTCACCAGCATGCGGAGCATCTTCGCCCGGAACAGTGGGTGGTCGTTGAGCTCCACGTTGATTGTGTCGCAGATCGTTCGAACCCCGAGGTGGTAGCTCTCACTGCCCAGAACATGGCTGCGACGAGACCTGCCCTCGGCTATTTGCCAGTCGTCCGACTCCGCCTTCTCCGGCCTCCAAGCTGGATTGCGGAAGGTCAGCGCCGCCGCCTCGCCTCCATCCGAAGCCCGAATCGCTTCGCCCTTCAGAAGCTTCCTGTAGACCATGTCCAGGGACCTCAGCATTCGGAACGCCTCGTCCTCCAGCACCGCCTTGGTTCGAATTGAAATGCAGCCTGAGCCCTTGCACCATGTCAGGTGCACGTTGATACGAGCCTGCGGGCCGTCGTAGTTTGCCGGCGTTTCCATGGTGGTCGTCACGCGGCACTTCCCAGCAGCATTCGTGATGTTTGAGGGCCGGAAGCAAGGCCCTCGAGGAAACCTCCACCTCGCCCAATGTAGTCGTGTATTTGACCATGCCTCCGAAAGTCTTGCAGAAAGAGGGCCGCCGTGGAAGAATCCGATCGCACTTGAGCCGATATGAGCGTTCTACGTTCCCGCTCCCGAGCAGCAGCAGCAGCATCAAGCACGGTAGGCTCATCCGCAAGTTGGTATTCCCCCGTCACCATAGTGGCCCGTATTAAATCCGCCGCCTCCGCCTTGTCTTTCGTGAATATGTCAGCTAGCTGTAATGTAATAGGTATCCGTCTTACCGTAGTTCCCAAGCGTTTTAGCCTTTCTTTGATAATCACGAGATCTACTGCTACCCGCTTGTCTGTTCCCGCACCTGCAATGCTACACGACACCATTTGATTGTAAAGAGATATGCAATCATGTACAGCTATGGGGCCGAACAGAGGGAGAAACTCTGACCGATCTTCCAAAGAGAAATGTGGGCCCAGGGCCTCCAGAAGGATACAAGCCAGCCGCTCCACATGACTAAGAGCGTCCATCTGCATTTGAGCTTCAGCAGCTAGAGTAGAAGCCGTAACTAGACGAAGACGGTAGGTACGCCAGCACAACGGGCTCCATGGGCCAAGCATGTTTTGGATAATTGCTTCGTCAGTAGCTGCACTAACACAGCCTGCTTGAGTACCCGAGTTAGCGTTATTTTGATTTGAAGCATCAGCATGAGCAGCCAATCGAAGTCGGTCTTGCGATATATGTCGCACTCGCCATCGCATCGAACTGAAGTGCTTCGCTCTTTGGACGAGATTGTTAGCATGTCGAATCTGCTCAACCGTCTGTTCCGGAAGAATCTGCTGCCCCATCGATACCTGAACCGCGATATCTGGACGGGTCTCCCGAGCCAACCAGTTTCCAGCACCCAGCATCGTTCGAACATATGAAATCTCTCGCTCGGTAGCGGGAAGTTCGGGCGAGCATCGGGGTCCCACACTTGCGGGCTTCATCTCGGTACCGAAACCTTGCTGAGAGATGATCAGATCAAACGTTTCAGGGTCTTGCCACAGGGGGGAACCACAAAACTCACCCTCACCAGCGCACCACTTCCTGAACGGAAAAGACTTTCGAATATTAGTGAATGGCGAGCCGATGCTTCTCACCAATGCCTCCGGAAATCGCGCCATCCACATGCGTCGCGATAAAGCCGCGCAGTTTGCCCTCCTCGTACAAGCACGTAAAACATGCACGGGTCCATCTTCGACTGGGCCCAGCCTAAGTCACCAGACCCAGGACTCCACTGCAATAGAGTATCACGGAACTTCCGCCACCACGTAACGGGAGAGTCGTTCGGCCCGTAGATGGGCTTCATCACCTCCATGATCTGGTCTGGCGAGAGACCAGGTAGACCACAGCGCGGTTGCTGGAGCAAAATCTTGCCCATTGACCGGTTCAACTCATCAGCTTCCAAGAAAGCAACAGTCACATCGGCAATTTTCGCCCTGAATTTGTTAGATGCCAAAAGTTGGTACACATCAACTTTCCCATTGTGGGATAATGTCGGAGATGAGGTCTTCCGCTCACGAACTCACTGCAACAGATCAGGATCGGAATAGTCTTGAACGCATACACGAGCCTTGACAATCTCGTTCTCGTTGTCGTCTTTCTTGGAGGTCATCGCCATGCGGCTGCCCAGGATGCGATCAGGGCTCTCGCGGCGAAGCCGAGCAGAATCTCCGGAGTTTAACGGTTTCAGCGCCTGCTTCTCCGAGTGCACATTGTTCCATTTCTTTTGGATTCCAGCCGCCACCTTAGCCTTGCCCTCCTCGGTGCACCTCTTCGAATGCTTGAAATTGATCTCCTTCTGGCCATATGTCAGCAGAGCATCGCCCACCTCAGCGTCATCGCTCTGGCCGGCATGCAAAACCTCAAGCCCCCTTCCTCTTCCACCTCGTCCGAGAAAACAGCTGCCCCAGACAGACTTCAACTGGGTCAAAATCGTAGAGCCTCTTCTTGTCGACGAAGATCTTCCGGACGAGCTTCAGCTTAAAAGAAGAAGATGGTGAAGAGGTACACCCTAGCTTTGGAGTGGTACTTTCAGTCCAAGACTAACCATCCAATGGACGTAGTCGCTCATCTGGGGCCCGAGATAATCTAATACTTGCCAGCTCACAACCAGCTCTCATCACACGGGCTCTGCTTGATAATGCGTCACCCTGGCCGATGGTCACCCACCCGCTCTTGGATGTCACGCGTGGCACACTTGTCCAGTAGTTGGGCTGCAACAGGTACTTTGTGGCGATGCTGGGTCGCACTTAATTGAACTCTGGGCACTCAGCCCACGCGTGCCGAAATGACGGCCAGAGCGCACCACAGGCCGCGCACGGCTTACCTGACTGTCGGCGCGTTTCCGATGATGCAGCACCTGAGAGGAAGAGAGAGATAATCTTTTTCTCAGTATCGGGTATGCTGCGCGCCCACTTGGCGTAGTATTTGTGCGACGTGACATTCGGGCCGGTCTGCTCAACGCCCTCAGAATCACGCCGCTGCTTTGGAACTTTCTGGAAACATCGAACTCTGGCCACCGTTCTAAGTGCATGGCAGAGGCGGTTCAGATATCTCTCACTCGTCGGTCTGCGTATCCAGAAACGCGTCGTGTTGGGCGCGCAGGAGTCGCGGGGGGCCGCGACCACGCCGTGGTCGTCACTGGGGGGGTATTCCAGTAAACATCCTTGGCTGTCGGAATATCGAACAAGTGAAAGGCCCAGCTGTTCGCAGTGAGCACGAATGGCCGTCTCCACGAAGCCGCCCCAAACGACTTTCTCGTGGCTCACCGTGTCGAGGGCGTACGTGGCAGCCCCCAAGTGGGGGTGAAGGTGCACGCGCTGTGCCCGCCATCGTCCTCGGCACCGCCACTTCGACGATGCGCGGGCCACGGCGCGATGAAGAAGCCGAGGGGCTTCCTCTGGCAGCGGTGCCGCAAGTGGTGAGGCCCAATTCCAAAGCGGCCTGATATCTGCAATAGCGAGACGTTCTTGTACACCCATACCTCCAGGGATCGAACTCAGCGCCATGATTGCCTCAAGTACTTTGTCCCACCCCTTTCGGGGCAGGATGGGGTCGCGGGGTCTACCGGTCTACACTTGATGCCAAGGTGCTCGATGATACTTGGTGGATCATCATCTCGGCTCCAAACTTGTCTCTTGCTGAGGTTCTCCTTGAAACCACAGTCATTGTCAAAGACTTGAGTAGCAGGCAAGTCGTCTGCCACCAGCTCGCTTGAGAGGTTGACCAAACTGCGGTCGCCCATGTGGGCGTGGCTGTTCCCTGGCTGCCATGGGCAGAGAGTTGCACGCATGGCTGCTGGGGCGATCGTATCACCCTGCGGCAATCCACGTTCAGGCCATACTGGATCTGTGAAATGCCCAGCAACATTTAGGTATTTTGGTCGAGTCCAAGCTGCAAGGGCCGCGTACACCACCGCGTCGTGAGCTGCACACT